ACAGTTGCTGCACAGCTTCTACGATCTGAAACCTCTTCCCTCAGAAAGGCCAAAGGCAACTCCTCTGGACCGGACGCACAAAGGAACCCTTCTCGGGCTCCTCAACCAGGCATGGACGGTTCGTCGGCTGCCTGACTCCTGGAAACATAGCCTTATCGTCACCATCCCGAAAAACCTCGGTCCAGCACTATCACCGAAGGATTTCCGGCCGATCTCCTTGACCAGCTGCTGCAGCAAAATAATGAAGACTAGCGAGATTCCTTGAGGGGAACAACCTACTAGACCACCGACAGCATGCTTTCCGCCCTGGCCACGGAACAGGTACATACTTTAACAGTCTTGGCCAGATAGTACAAGAGGCACTCCGTAAGGACCAGCACGTCGAGGTGGCCTCCCTGGATCTGACCAAAGCTTACAACAGAGCCTGGACACTCCAAGTACTATAGCAGCTAGCAGGGCAGAACCTTCCAGGTGACCAACGAAAACCACCGCTCCAGCACCAGACGGGAAGAGACCGGGGTTCCCCAGGGTTCCGTAATTGCAGTGACCAGCTTCCTGGTGGCAATGTACGGAATCTTTATGGTGCTCCCTAAGGAGATTTACATTCTGGTCTATGCGGACGACATTTTGCTACTAATCATAGGGAAGACCCTGAAGGCCATGAGGGTAAAGCTCCAAGCTGCGGTCTCCGCTGTTGGCTTTGAGATATCTGCCGAAAAGAGCTCAATCTCCCACGTTTGCCGCCTTGGCCACCGGCCACTTCCGACTTAATGATGTCAGGAATAATTGTCGAACACAATTGAACATCCTCCGCCCCCTCTCCGGGCCGCATAAAACGAGCAACAGGGCCATCGTACTCAATACCGCCAGAGCCATTGTTTATAGCCGACTGACCTACGGAATTGAGCTCCTTTGTGCGTCAAGCGAATCGGTCGTCACCCGACTAGCGCCGGTATATAACCAGGCAACACGAATTGCGGCTGGACTTCTGCCCTCAACACCAGCCGATACCGCCTGCATTGAAATCGGAGTGCTCCCTTTCCGATGTTACATTGCGGAAACAATCTGTACCAGAGCCGTGGGTCTCGACGAAAAATTAAGCGGAGACGGAGAATTCTATCTCCTCACAGAGGGGAAACGAATCCTCCAGGAAATCGGTCACCAGGAGCTCCCATCGGTGGCCCAGCTCCAGTGGAACGGAGCCAGAGAGTGGGATTCTTCTTCCATCCGGGTAGACAAATCCATGGCCAAGCACGGTATCACAACTACGAACTCCGTTTCACCGACAGCTCCAAGGCAGAAGGCAGGGTCGGCTTTGGAGTAAGTGGTGGACAGACCTCACACTTCTGGAGACTCCCCGATCAATGCTCGGTCATCTCGACCGAGACTGCAGCCCTTCATTACGCAGCTTCCCTACCATCAGACCCCCTTCACTCTTTGGAATTTATAGAGACAGATAACAGCGCCAAACGGTTTGTGACGGGACGACGTTGAACATTAGAGATTTGCATCTTACTGATTCCAGTGGTATATTGGAAACTCTTCCGCTCGAAAGCAAAACATATTATAAACACATCATGATGCGCGCTTGGATGTGTGATTGTTTTCTCAAGTGTGTCTGTTGCGTATAAAGTGGTAATGATTGAAAATCGGAGTAATCACAAACAAGTAGGAATCTTGCTATCGCAATATATTGATGATGACTACGAGAATGATATCGTCTTTCCTCGGCTGATCATCAACATCCGCGTTGACATCTGTCATGCTGACACCTGTCAGTTAGTGAAGTTGGCGGGGAACTCCCAACAGTTTCAATGTGCACTCAACAGATGGCACTGCGATCACATAAGGGTGGTCATTATATGACTTGTATGAGGAATTGATTTGTAGGATAACTTGTTAATAAGATATCTTTGCTATCATCCTCATCTCCACTGTGTGTACTAACCGACTCTGCTAGCATCCTCGAGGCACTGGAATCTGCCACCGCCCGCCACCTCTGGATTCAGGCCATATAAAACCACACCCCCTGGCTCCACCTTCATGTGGATACCGGGACACTGCGGAATTGCCGTAAACATAGAAGCAGATCACCTCGCAGCCATTGGACGAAGTGGCCGACTCGCCAACACTTCGGTTCCCAGATAGGACCTGAAAATAAGGATCAAGTCAACCCTCAGGATGGCATGGCACCGTGAATGGTTCGCCAGGAGAGACCTCTTCCTCAGGAAGACGATCAGAGATTCTTGTCCCGGTTAAAAATCGGCCACACCCGCATCACCCATAACATTGGGAGCAGCAGTGGCGGAAACTTCCGCCAAAGATGTGACACCTGCAAAACAACAATGACGATCGAACACATGAGCATGAGCATGCATGAGCATGATTGACCGTCCACGGTTGTTACTCTGTTATTTCCAGACCAGCTGTAATTACACAGAGAACCAATAGACGATGCTTGGGACTAGCAATCATCCTCAATGTGTAAAAACTGGTGATCTCGAATTAGGCAATACCAGCGCCAGCCGCGCCTGAACGCAGGTCAAGAAAGGAATGGGTAGGAATGTGTTGACGTGACACTCGCTTTGATGGAAGTCGAGGAGTCCTCTGCACTTCCACGAGGAATCACAGGGATGTTGGGTAAGAGGGTTGGGTTAGCAGCAGGGTTCGTTTCGGTAAACGATAAGCTGAATTGATGTCCTAACAATCGTATAACGCGAAGGAGCTTGGGATTGAACGCACGGTCTTCTGCTCAGTAAGCCAAAAACGTTTGCCACTAGGTAGACGAGCTCCTTTTTAATCATTGACGAATCTTGAATGTGGATGGGCTTGAGATTAGACTCATGATATTCTGCTCAGTAAGCAAAAACGGTTGCTCTAAGGCCACCAAGCCTCTCATATCACATTATAGCGTTACTCAAGTATTTATAACTATTCAAATCCGGCACCGACGGCAGCGAAAAGTTTTACAAAATACACGACAAGCTATTCAAATGAAATTACGTTCTCGAATTTCACGGATTTCGTGATTGATGTTTAATTTTAAATATACTAACGGTACTGCCTACGACTACGACGGCGATTACGACAGCGACTACGACGCCGCCTACGACAACGACAATAGAGAATTTGTAACTTACCATTTGTCTAGGATAAACACCTTTGCCCGGCACCTCCACTGGTTCTTCATGTCCGCTATCTGTCACTGTTTGCAAAATATCTAATAGCAATTACCTTTGTTGTAATACTTCCTGTATTGCCATGGTGATCTTGGAGGAGGTTCGCATCTAGTGCTTTCCCCAGGAACCGTTCACGGCCACCAGCTTCCGCCCGTCCAGTCTTGGGCGTATCCAGCGAGACATCCTTCAGCTTACTCCCAATCCTACGGAATCTACAGGAGAGTTTAACCCATATATATTGTTACAGTAAGCCCGGCCTTCCCTGCCGATAGCGGGTGCTAGGTCTCTCCTGGTAGTTTCTACTGGTGAGGCTCTGCTGGGGTCCACAAAACAAAACAGAAAATACAAAAGATGACAGCAACATAGAACAGTTAGGCAAAATAAAAACAATAATAAATTTGAGCATCGGTTCCCCTCTGGAACCACAACCATCAGGGATCTCCCCTCCGGAATTCCTTTCGGGCATAGTCTCATCAACTCCGTAACATAAAAACTCTGTACCTTCCGAAGACGTACCGAAGACGAACCAGCCCAGAGCTGAAAGTCTCCTTGACAAAGATATAAAAAAAATGAAACCTCTTATCCAGTGTCAACTTCGTAAAAGCAGGCAGCAACTCGAGGACGAACTCTCTGATGCTACGTGAACCGATAACTTGTGCGCAGGCTTGCTGAAATTCCTCAAACTCACTGGAGGTTTTAAAACACTCTTGTCTTGCGAGTTAAGCCACCTCGAGTGAGTGGCGGCAGGAATATGGAAGAAGTAAACAAAAACTCCTCGAGAGAGAGGGAGAGTGAACTTCAGCGAGAGGATGATTTGACGTGAGGTGCGCTTTTGGAGACTCCGGATGACTTTTTTGTTCGACGCAAGAAGCTCAGAGTTCACCCAGAGTGAGAGTAAGAGTGTGTGATAGAAAAAAATGAACAGGAATGGCAGCAAACCTCACTCTCATTTTATCCCCCTTCACTCACAAGCTCTGAAGCTCAGTGGAATTATTTGGCAGTAGGCATTCTGCTCATCAGGAAAATACTACGCTCGGCTCATTTCAAACTCGCGAGTGAGGCTTCATCAAGCCTGCTTGTGCGCTGGCTTCTTGAATGGTGCAAGTGGAGTGGAAAGTGAAACACGGAGACCATCGGGACGTTGATCAACCGCAACTGTGTCGGTCTTCCAGAAACTCCATCACGTGCAGAAATACAGGACCCTCCTTCTTCAAAGCATACTCTTCCCAGTCTTTCTCCGTAACGTCGTCCAGCTTCGATACCAACCGTTGCGCCAAGATTGTTGTGTGCCAGTCGAAAGTGCCGATAACATCATGGATCCCATTTGCAGAAATTTTTTTCATCTTAGGAAACTGCAGAAGAGCGTTGACGAGCCGTTTCTTCTGTAGATAAACGTGCGATTTACGTTTGGTCAAAGCAGACCAGCTAACCCCGTAGCTGGCTGCCCTCATTGGGAATGCATCAACAACCTTGAGGGCCTCTCCCTTTAGAGACTTTCGCAAGTAATGAAAGCGCTGAATCCTGCTCAAATATGGATTGGTGTGGATCAGCGACTAATTTATCTTTGGAGGTGTATACCAGCACATGCTACCACACGAGTATTAGTGGAGGTAGAAACGGAGCGTGAGGGAGTGACATAAGGGTCATCAACTTTACAATATTTACAAACTTGAGCGATAAACATCTTTGATACAGACAGTTTCTACCGTTTTTTTATCTTCTGATCTAAGACTTTAAGTTGGCAATTTGTTCGGAATTTGGAATGTTTCTTAAATACTGAGATCAACATTAATTAATTCAAAACTTTTCCGTACTTTTCAGACGACACCTACATGTACGACGACGCCGTCACCAGCGTAATGCGGATGCCCCACCAAGGCCACTGGTACGACGAACCTCCCTACGAAAGCGATCCGGATGATTTTCTCATGTCCGGAATACGCCATGCGGGACCATCCGCAACGATACAAGTAAGTTTTAAATTACCTCGATTTTATTTTTCACATTCAGCAGCGACAAAATCGACCTCTGCTATCCATTTTCATCTCCCCAGGGCCTGGGCAACTTTCCTATTTCATTTCGCTTATTAGGATAATCGTTTTCCGGCAAATTGGTAATCACTCTCCTTCCATACAATTAAATCTCAAGTCGTGAATCAAGCGGCGAATGTGAAAAAAAAATTACACGTTCGGTGCCAAGAGCGGTTCATCCTAGCATGAAACGCTATACGAATTTTCCGAGTGTCACGATTAAAATCGGTGGTTTTTCGCTCGATTCGTCCTCGTACCGAAATTCATCAGCGTTTGGTAGAGCTCTGAGTTCCTTCCAGCGCTCCACAAAAAAAAATCAAAATTACACCCCCTTTTCTCCTGTGCTGACAATTGTTCCACTAAAACCTACCTACCGCATTCAATGCGGCGGTGTGTGGCAGCGACTAGAATGACGATATTACCCCCTCCCCAAGTGCACACATACAGTCACGGCACAATCCCACACACATTCTTCTCGGCATCAATTTTCTCGTTTTTCGGCAAAGTTTTCCCCGGACGCGGATCGAGCAAAAAAAGCCAAACCCGTTGCCGTCGTCATCGTCGTCGGCGTCGTCGTCGTCAGCGGCAGCAATTTAACGCTTTCAATTAATTTTAAACATTCCAAATTTAATGGAAAATTCCTGTTGCCACTAAAATTCGTCGTTTCGGTTCCATTGCGTTCTACTATATTTTTTTTCGCCCGCTACCAACTGACTGACTTGAGGGTGGATCCGAAGGGGAGACAGGGGGAAGTAGTTGATTTTCATCGAACCACGTATTTTTGTGGAACATAGGATTAGGTGGTTTCGGTGAGGCGCAACGGATAGAAGGGGGCTGCGGAGAATTGAAGCTTAATCTCAATCGGGATCAACCAGTCGGGTAGAACGGAGCCAGATGAGTGCGTAGTGATGGTCGGATGAAGAAAAAAACATCATGCCGACTCCGGTGGGGGTATCCTAACTAACGTTCCGTGTAAAACCGTTGAGTGATAAATTCGAGAGCAATTGAGAATCGATATTTATGGAGAATAAAAACAGCGACGCGGGGATCGTTGATGGGCTTTATGCGAATTTTATGAACTTTTCAGTTGCAATATATTAGGCAGGCTACATCAAAAGGTTGATTATTGGCTTGGCTTCAGTCAAAGGTCCGGTGCGCAACCAGATACAATCAGCTGTTTTTGCTCTGCTTCGCACTGCCCTTTGAAATAGGATTTTCAACGATTGACGTATTGCAACGTTCAGAAGAATTGAAGGAATGGAGGAATTTGGCTCATATTAAAACGGATTATCCTACCATCGAACTTGTTCCGATCAAGTAAATCTACTTAAGTCTATGCCTGGCAAGCTGAAAGGATGTTAACTTTGTTTAAGCGGGTTTAAAGGCTGACTAAAAGTAAATTGGTACGCACAAAAAGACCTGTAAATCGTGATTCAAAAAGTTTAAAAAGTCCATTAATGGTTGCTTAACAGTACTTTTATTAAAACTTCAAAGTTGCCGTATTAGATGGTTACATTTCTCCAGTTCGAACGAAATCTCGAACCTTCCTCTTGATGGAGCCCATAAGCGCCCGCACAGTGGAAACGGACACGGAATCAGCGCACTTCTTCCATTTTGCCCGCATTTGCTGGATGTCCTTGACTGCACCGCCGCTTTGTCAAAGTCGCTGCTTTGAAATTGCCTAGTATTTTTCGATTGGTCAAAATTCCGGACAATTCGATGGATTCATTAGCTTGATGACAAAATCGATCTTGTTGGCAGCATTCCACTCCAGAACCACCTTGGAGTAGTGGCAGCTGGCCAAATCGGGCCAAAAGATGACTTTGCCCCTATGCTTGCTTTTTCAGGCATTCTTCGATGTAAACTTTGAATGTCATCGTCGAGGATGTGACGAATGATTCCGTTTTCAGGCCGCAACTGCAAATCGCTTGTCAAATCATTGCCTTCTTTGCGAACTTGACTCTTCCCGGTACATCCCAACGTCCTGTCACAATGTAAAACTTTTCACCGGGAAGCTGCTTAAAATCGAGTTTGACGTATGTTTCGTCATCGATCAAAGTGAAGCCCTTGTGTTTCGTCAAAACTCGGTCGTACAAGTGCAAGGCTTTTTGGGGACGGAATTCTGCTTCATGTGCCGGTTCGGATGTTTACTGGCTTTGTACGACTTGTATCCTTCCCTGGTAAAGATGTTCCGCACCGTTTGAAAGTTGGCGTTGTACCTTCTAACCACAACTCGGATCGAAAGACCGGGGTTGGCTTTAACGCATTTCAACACCTTGCTGCGCAACCCTGGTTCCAGTTTTTTCGTAGGTCCGCTAATTCCTTTCCACACTCAGGGTTTCCTTGTAGGTTTTGAGCACTCGACAAACTGTTGTTTTCGGCATCTTCAGCACTTTAGCCAGCTTGGAACCGGACCTCTCTGGATTGTCCAGGTGTTTGTGCACAATATTTTTTCTTCTTTCGAGTTCCATTTGACGTAATTTCTGAACGCGATCGACTACTTTGATCAAACTTGCACCAGTTTTTCTCTATAGAAGTGTAAACAAACCACTGTCAAAGATTTTAGATTCCCAAAACTAGAGGCGTGGTAGCGGCGTGCGAGGGGCGTACTAATTTACTTTTTGTCAACATTTAATCTGAGATGCCGAGCAAAGTCAGACATAAAAGTTATAGCAAATAGAAATCAAGTAAGGTAAGTGCACCAATATTGGCAATAGGTTCCTGTTTTAACCATACCTCAGAAAAACGATTAAATCCCAATCTTCGCGGATTTTGAGACAGAAATGTTTATGTACACCGATGAATATGATTTGTACCAACAAACTGATCGCAACTTGAAACATGGCCAATAGTGGTGCGTTTGCCCTATTGATGTCAACAACAAATGGAAATTATATTAGTATGATATCAAATTTTGTTTTCGTTTTCTGTACATTTGATCGGCATCTAAATTGGTTGATGTTATATTTTTTTCAGTAGTGTCTTTTTACAGCAAACCAACTATTGAAAATGTTGTAGTTTTGTTTTTATTGCCTTGGTAGAGTATCAAATTGCATTCTTGTATCGTTAACTGAAAAGATGAATATCAAATCTAGTTGTCAGTTTGCTTTCACTGATAGCAGAATAACTTTTCATTTTGATACCACAGGAATATGTTTTCGCTCTCAATTTTGATATTTTTACCATAGAGGTAACTCTAAGACCAGAAGGTCCCGAAGAAACGCGCTCAACTTTTTGGATCAGCTCTGGTACTATCTTCGGTCCCAAGCTAATCGATGCACCCCTCGAAACATAGCAAAAAAACCACGAACCCCTCATTTTATCTGTCAAACTTTCATAGCGAATCAAAACAAACATAGTGTGGTACTAGAATTTCGACTGGAATTGAGTACGCTAATCGATTTGCTTGGAACCAATAGGCTAGTCAAGTAGTGAGCCTCTGAAATCGTTAGTTTCCACCGGTTGGTATAACGAACTGTCATGCGATAGCAAGCTTAACAATGCATTAGCTCCTAAGTAACATTGACAGATTCTCATGGTAGATTTTCTCTTTGCATCTCCATGGCCATGTATGGACACTTCCAGCTATTTTCAACACATAGTTCAATAAAAGAAGCTACTATCTAGCATCTAATACGGCAAACACGACAAGAAACGATATTGTAGCCAAGTAATTAACGAAAGAAAAAGTCGACGAAGAGAATCAATCAATGTTACTTGTGACCTAATGCATTGTTCTGCTTGATAATTTATTGAAGGGCCTACATGGTAAATGAATCTAAATAACTCATATTTGAATCCCGCTCACTAGAATCCCCAAAAATGTAGGCCACTCATAAAATGAGTAAATGTCACTAAAATATACGTGACATTTACTCATATTTGATAAAAATTTACTCATTCTACAAGTGACCTACGTTTTTGCGAATCTGAGTGAACGGTACCTAATTATGAGTTAGTTTCATTCGCCGTGAAGTTTGTTTTGATGGCAGGGTTTACTGTACGCTATTTCTAAACAACTCAAATTTGAGTAGGATGTACTCATAATCCGTTAAAAGTAGGACTACCCTAAATCACAGGGAACAGACATTCAAGCTTAAACAATTTTTTCGAAAAATTATGTGTAAGAATTCAAATTAAAATACGTTACAATCACTAGCGCTGCCATACGGAATGTTGCGACTTGAGTTATCACTTGTTGCGATTAATAAGTTAACTGTACTAAAATTTGGGTTGATCTCATTGACCGTGCATCCAAATGAACTGTCAAATCAGTTCAAAACGAACAAGACAAAGCAACGAAAATCAATCGACTTTCTGCGGAACCATTATTTTCGAATAAAGAACTAAGCTTTTTTTTACATTTTCCTGTAGATTTAAACCCGTTTTTCGTTCCAATTTTAACTGGGCATAGCATAGTAGTCAGGAGCAAAACTGACTTGTTTTTTGAGTTCACTGGCGGCGAATCTTCAAATGATTCAGTGAGGACTCTAATAAGCCTACATTTAAATTCAGAAAAATGTGGTAAGATTTGAACACTGCTTATCCGTTCATCCTGCAATTTGAAAAGCCTCCAGGTGGAAGTGGTCGGAACATAATTTATTCGTTGCCAGTGCTTGGACTCCACGTGAGAAGAAAATCTCCTATAGTTCGGGAAATTTAGCATCCTTAGGAAAATTTTGAAAAGATTTTTCGCACCTTGTTTATTTGCGTACACGCAGGAAAAAGAACGTAAGAATTCCATAAGAAACACTTATGAATTTTAGCCATAAGAAATGAGTGAGATTTCATTGATTTGCCTTATGAAAAATAATGTTGACAAAATATAATAAATCGGAGCAGACTGGAACTGGAAAATGGACGTTGAGGTTAGCGGGCCCGTGTGTTGACCACTCGTCTTTCAACGATCGGGAAAATGAAATGGTTGAAGGCGTATAAGA